ATAATTTTGGAACAAGGTAATAATGTTTGTAGGAGGACAATTGGAGGAAGTGGTGGTAAGATATTAGGTTAATACCAAACTCATGAGCGAGATCATAAAACTTAATAGAAGATGAAACCCAATCCTGTGGCAAATTATTTGTCCGGCATACAATTTTGACTTGCTTAGTGAATTTATATAAGAAACGAAGTTTCAAATATAATTTGAACAGTGAGGGTGGCTTCTTCAATATATGTTGACCATTGGATTTATGCGAAGGTATAATTTGATCAGCTGCTTTAATAATAGAGGCCTGCAGCAAGTCCCAATAATGATTGAGTTTCGTCTGGTTAAGTTTTGAATTAAATTTAAGGAGGCGCAGTTCACAGCTATTGACCAGTCCATCAAATTTAATTTTGTATTTAGTCCAAAGCTCCTCATTCATTTTGTCATAATCATACACGGTCTTCTTTGGTATATTATGTTTGTTGTTTTTAATGTTGAGAAAATTTTCAACGGTGCATATAACAATCGCATGATCAGAGATCTGTGGTAAAACTAGTTCGGTATTGCAAGTGGTAAAATTGAAAGCAAGTTCTGTAGAGGTCCAAATGAAGTCGATACAAGATGTTATGGAGGACGAAGTAAAAGTTGGATAATTTACATGGTCGTTACTATGCTTTAAAGTAAACGCGTCAAATAAATGAAGATTCTGAAGCGATATAAAAAATTCTTTAACACTGTTAGGATTATGAGATCTGTCCATATCTGCATTAAAATCGCCTGATAAAACAATATGAAAATCCTTTGCTATAGCTTCGTTTAAAATTTTGATTAATTCTTTCTGTATCTCCTTCCGTTTAATGATATCAGCAGGTGAAAGATAGCAGTTGATAAAACATAATTTCTGTTTGTTAGAAAATTGGATAATACGATTCAATCTATGATGATAAAAAAAGACGTGATTGGCTAAAATCAGATTTAAAAGAATGCCCACTCTGAAACCAGTTTTAGGATTCGTCTGGTTAGAGCTAAAGAAACCTATAAAGTTTGAGTGTTCTCTATTGAAGGGTTTGCAATGTTGTTGATGAAAATTAGTTTCTTGTAAACCGATGGCATCTATATTAAATGAGGAATAATGTTTTAAAAGTGTATGTTGTTTAGTGGTATTAGTGAAGCTGCGAACATTATGTGAGGTAAAAGATAAAAAAGGAGGAGAAATGTGATTTAGAGGGGTTGTGTTATGAATTGATGCATCTTGTGCATTAGAATCAGTAGGAACAGTATTCATTAAAAAATTAATATTTGGGGAGGTCATTGATATAACGTTCGATATCAGTATCAAATGTTACACCAAGTGAAAAGATATTATTGGCCTGTTCTTGTGGAAGCAAATTATTTTTCAAAAGTATGTTTTGAAAAGCAGCGCACGATTGAATTAGAGTATTAACCGTCGTAGTGAAGGACTTGAGGTGGTTCTGATGAATGGCATTAATATTTCTGAGACCTTCAATGGTCTTTTGTTGTTGAGCTATAGTGGAAACGGATGAGTCGATAGATGGTTCAATATCATCAATCATTTTATTCGCGTTCATATTGTGTACGTCCGCTTCCTCTGGTGTGATGACTTTGATGTTAAGAGATTATTCAACCGATTCCACCTGTTTAACGGTGAAAGCTAAGGTGCTTATAATCAGTGATGTCCATTTCCTATATCCCAAGCATTTGCTGTTCCAGCTATATATCCCAACTATATGTCCCAACTATGTCCCATATATGTCCTAAATATCCTATCTGTCCCATCAATATCTCATCAGTGTCCCATCAGTGTCCTAACTATGTCCTATGATAACACTGCTCATAATTATGCACAAATTTTCAGAAAGACTATTAAATTGGGATTTGATGAATTCTTTGAAATTCTCGTGCATGTTTGCGTGCATTGATCTACCTGCTTTAGTACCCTTATATACTGTATTATTAGGTATGAGGCAAATAATGTTATCAAAAAGGATTTCTTCATTCATGTTTGGCAGAATATCGTCAGACCATGAACCAGATTGAGCGTTTCTTTTGTTGTCAGGTCGTAAGGATGGGTTGTTTCGGTTGTCTTTGTTGTGATTAGGATTGTTGTTATTATTAATATTACTAGGTGTTTTTGATTGTTGGTTGTTGCTCGGAGTAGTTGGTGGTTTAGTCACATAGGCGAAGGTGATGTCCGGGTTTATTGCGCCTCTCATCTTTTTAGGAGAAGCTTTGTAATTAGAGTACTGAGCAGGTTGAAATCTTTGATAAAGATTTTGCATATTTCAGTCAGATGGACTTTTCCTTTTTTGTAGACAATCATTCGCTTTGTGATTAGGGGATGAACAAATAGCACAAAGTTTGGCCTTTGAATCAGTCCATGTCACGTGTTTGCCATCTATAGTAAGATTTTCATTGGAAAAAGCAGCGTCAATATCGTCTGCGAAGACAAAGTAAAAAAATGTGTGTTGTAGATTTTAGTAGTTGGACTAGGCCTTGGGGATAACCCAAGCAGTAGCGTCAACCATTTTCCCAATTTCCTCGAGTTGTTTACCCATCGTAAACCTAGGAAGACCGGCAAGTTTTGCTGAAAATTTTGAATATGTCAGAATATCTGCATGAGATTGGTCACACATGTGGACTCTGACCATATCGTTGAGTATGAAAAGACCATAACAATCTTCTAGTCCCTTGAAATTTGCGTCTTCTGAGAAAGTAATAGTGGCCTGTGGTCACATATTCTTTGTTTCCATGGTGAAACGGACGATCGTTTCAAATCTGGCAAATGTCATCTTGATCCTGTGTTCTGTAGAATCCAGGGGGATTTCTGTTACCTTGATTGACCTAGTGGAAACATACGGTTGTGCTTGTATAACATCAAGGAGTAAGAACGTGCAGTTTTCCAAATTGGGTAACTGAACTGAACACGCATGATTTCATTTTTTTTGGTTATGAAAGGAAATTTTTATTATGCGTTGCGATTAGTCCTTTGAATGTTTCGCCAAGTTCGTTCCAGAGAACGAATCGTATTTGTCAAAAAGCAAATCGATAACAGAAGAGACTTTTTGCTGCAGCGATGTTCCTGGAAATTCTTTGAGGGGATAATATCTGTGAAAAAAAGGCTTTTGATGTTCAAAAGCTTGTACTGAAGACGTATTTTTGTCCAAGAAGTTCTCTGACGCGTCAAAACTGATGTCAACGTCTAAAGTGGTGGTGGTTTTTTCTGGAGTCTCTTCCAAAGTTTCTTTTCTTTGCCTTTTTTCGAAGGCAAAGGGTCAACTTCCATGGACTCTACTGGTTATGAAGGCTCAGTAGTTTGTTGGGTTGGTGGAATATCTACAGTTTGCATTGTATTTTGTTTTTTGGTTTTTTGCGTTATTAATGGTAAAGACGAACGTCCTCGTTGTTTTTGTTTTTGCTTGCTGTTTTTTTTGGTTATTTTGGGATAAACAGGAGAGAGTTTTTATCGATCTGTAGAATTTATTGATTTATAATTTCAGCTGATAATACAATTGCGTGTATCTCGTGATTGGATGATCTGAAATCAATAAATGTTAGCTCATTGGATCCGCCTAGTTTCGAGGAATCGAATGGTAGTTGTTTCATACGAATCGGTGCGATATTGACTGAGATCGTACATCTTTTGTTTTTTGTTTTTTCTAAATATAAAAATCATGTGATATGATGTCATTTCAACTATTTCGCGACTTTAGCCTCCAATGGTCGAAATGATTTCGACCATTTCGACCATTTTGGATATCTGAAATAATCCATTTCAACTTCATGTATATCCAAAACCACTAAAGCAAATATGTCTTGTCAATGTTGAAACAGAACCAGACTCACGCTGGACTACAATCATGAAAATCAAGTAAATCTGCTAAAAGCATTCACTCTCTGCTGAAGAGTATTTACCCCTGACATCCAAGTTGGGTTTAACATTTCAGATTATGATTGCCATTTCATTATAGAAAGAGCTATTACCTTAACATACTCGAATAGATGTGAGAACAAATGACAGGAAAGTTTGAAACAAAGGAAGAAATTATAAAATGGAAATATCGTGAAAAGATAGGAGCAAAATCTGAAATGATTTTGTGAAAAAGTATCCTGTTAAGGCTCTTAAGGAAGGTAAAGAGGATCTAGAGAAGAAAGAATATATGGATAATCCAATTAAGATCAAAATTAATGCAGAAGATGATTTTACTTCTAGCTTTCTTAAACTGCTAGGTTGCATATCGATTGACATTTGAGTGTGCCTCAAAAAAAGTTTCCTTCATTCTGAAGTCGAAAAGAAAGGTTCACTTAAAATTTTCTTACAAAAGTGTGATCTTGACAGTAAGGCCGACATGCCATATGATAAAATGTGAAAAATCTATTCAGAGGTGAAAAAAGCACCTTCTTAACAATCGTGAGAAATATGTGTGAAGTAGCACATTACTGTATTATAGATGCATTGCGCTGTCAAAAACTTTTGGTGAACTAAAGTATAATAAATGATTATAAAGAAGTTGCCTCTATAGCTTATGTTTTTCTTTTTGATACACACTATCGCGTAAATGGAATAAAAGTACAGAACTTTCTCAGAGCATATGCTGTCAAACGAGATATAATAATAAGTATAAGAATTCCTGAAAACATAAAAAAGGAAATATCCTAGTGCATATGCTAAAAAAGTGATTGAAAGTATAAGACCTGTAATGGGATTGGATTTCGCTTCATTATATTCTAGTATTATCATAGCATATAACCTCTTCTTAGAAAAATTTATATTTGATCCAAAGGATATCGATATTGCATAAAATAATAGAAATAACTTGCATAAGATTGAATTTTCGTTTAATAATCATATTGTTCAAGCTTGATGTGTTCATCATGATAATCAACCGAAAAAGAAAGGCTTATATTCGACTATATTGGAGGATTTATTTAACAAGAGGTTGGATCTTAAAGCATGTTTAGCCCCACTAGAAAAGAAAAAGTAACATCTTGGGAAGATGATAAGTTCAGCTAAAGAAAGAGACAAAAAGATTCTGGAAAGCTTAAATTTAGAATACTCAAACATATGCTTTGATTATGATTATTGGAATTTGAAGCAAAAAGCTTTGAAGGTATACATGAATACTTTTTATGAAGAAGCTGAAAACTATTTATCCTTTATCTTTCTTCGTAAATTAGTCTGTGGAACCACTATGGCAGAAAAATACAACCTTAACCTTATTGCTGAATTCGTATCAAAGAAAGGATTTGGGATAAAATATGAGAATATCGATTCTTTGTATCTCACCTGCTCAGATAGGTATTACGTAAAAAGCAATGAAGCCTTTTTTAGAAAAGAACTTTCCAAAGAAGCGTATTGGACTGAAATGGTCAAAATTACTATGGATGTGATGAGAAAATTATGCAATCAAGTAAATGCTTATCTTAGAATAAAAAGTGAGACATCTTATCTAAAGATGGCATATGAAGAGATATTATTCCCCGTCTGCTTTACTGGTAAAAAGAAGTACTTTGGGGTTGGACATGAAGATGTAGTAAACTTTAAGCTGCAAAAACTTTTCATGAAAGGGATAGATACCATAAAGCAAGGTAAATCCCAGCTTCTCAAATTCATCAGAGAGAAGATAATGAGAGAGACTATGGATATAAATAATACATGCTCAATTCACAAAATTGTTAAAGATACTCTTAGAGAAGCAGAAAACAAGAAATGGGATTTCAATGAATTTATTGTGATGGGAACATGAAGGCCTAAGAAAAAATCTCTGCAACAATTGTTTTATGAAACGTATGAGAAAGAGAAATGAGAGGATTTCTGATTCTGGTGAACAGTTTAGCTATGTTATTGTGAAAGGTTCCCGTCTTCGTGATAAGAAAGGCAGGTTAATACTGTACAGAGTTAGGATTATATAGAGTATTCATCGAAAATAGCAAAAGAGCAAAACATGGAAATAGATATCAATTATTATTTAGGCATTATGATTGCAATGTGCGCACGTTTTATCAGTGAGAACAATAGCTATCAACCACCTTATCACATAAAATAATGCAGATCAAGGATCCAGATGTGAGAGAAAAGAAGATTGATAAATACTCCCAAGACGAGGCTGTAAGATAGCTTAAAAAATATATAAAACTTTACAATAAACTTTTTAAGTACTCTTAGCTAGTGTTGTCATGGGACATAGTTAGGACACTGATGGGACATTGATGGGACAGATGAGACATTTGGAACATATATGAAACATAGTTGGGACATATAGTTAGAACATATAGCTGGGACAGCAAATGCTTAGGACATAGGAAATGTACATCACTGCTCTTAGCGGGATGTGGCAATTTCAGCTAAGAAACTTAATTGTATAATATTATTTATATTTTTTCTCATGCAATAATACTGACTAATTTCAATTCCTATATTCAATCTAAGTTTGCAAGACAAACATCTCTTCTGACCTCTAAATCATATAACCCAACCTTGAATATGCCCAGAGGTATAAATCGTCAGTCTGAATATATCAGTTCTTCTGATCAAATTAGTCTGAAGCTAGTGATCACTATCACAAATTTCTATATGTGATATTTTATTACACCTATAAAATGCAAGATGAAATTGACACTAAAGTTTTAGCATATGCTCAAAGACGTGAAGGAAGATGCTTAGGCAAAGTTAGTCCTAATAAATATTTATGGATATGTAAAAAGTGCCATCAATGAGAGGTGCCATATAAAAATATGAAACAGAATCATAGATAGTGTAATATTTACCCTAATGTACCAGAATGAACATATCGGTATATATTCGAAAATTTATTAAATAAAAAATTTCCACTCCAAAAACCTAAATTCTTGAAGGGTTTATATCTAGATGGATACAATAAAGAGCTAGGCTTGATTTTTGAATATAGTGAAAACCAATATTACCAAATCGTGTTTTTTCACTTGCAAGGGTAAATGAATCTAGATGCATAAATTTAGTATAACTGGAAAAAAAGGCACTATGCTACGAACAAGGAATAATTCTTATTACAATTCCTTATTGTGTTGTTGACTTAGAGACTTTTATAAAAAGCGCCTTGTGTGCATTTAGTTATCTCCCAATATTCACCTAGGAGGCAACATAGGCTCCCCTTAATGTACATTAATTGTTCTCTTACTAAGGAATGCTGAGGTCCTGATTCGTTTAAATAATATAAAACAGGTATTAGAGGATTTTTTTCAACAACAATTCTTTGGATTTTATGTAGGCTAGGTGACTATATCGGATCTGTTATTCTACGTTGTTCAAAAGGATCATTTTCCCATTTTCCCTTAGCAAGTAAAATCAGACAGCAGTATCTTTTGGCAACTGGGATTCATCAACACCTATTGGGTGATTATATTTACCGATGGTTTGGAATATATCTGATCAAGTTTTATGATATTATTAGGGCTCATTCCAATTAATTGAGTAGGGGTATCATTTATATTATCAATGATCCTTCCTACAGCGTTTGCTAGTAGGTAAGAGAAACTCTACAGTATACTGGGTTTTAAAAACTTTAAATTCGAATATTCTGATATAATGGTCAACAAAGGTGAAGTTAGTATGTCTGAAACATGTTATAATTCTTCGGATTTCAATACAATGCTTATTCATTAATAAAGTTACATATTTCATAAACTCAGTGTTCTTATCACATTGTAGTTTTCGAGGCCAGTTAAGGGGTTTGTCAGGATTATCATATATACTCTTAAAAGCTTCTGTAACTTTTGCACTAGTTTTTGATATTAAAAAAGCGAAATCTTTATATCTAGTTGTGCAGTCTATAACCAACAATACATAGTAAAAGATTAGACCATCGTTTAATAAATTTATATTTACATCATAATATGGTATTTTGATCAAATCACACTGGTATACAGATAGAAGAGCAATTGGTAAAATCTGAGAAACTGGTAGAGAAATTGAGATGACAGATCAAGGTCATTTCATCACGAAAAAATTCACCAGTATAAGGGAATTCTCCTGATCAATATAATTCTGATGATAATATGACTACAATCACAGAGCTAGTAAACGCTATATATGGTTATCTAGATAATCCACAATAGATAAAGAAATCTTGGCCGGTCAAATAAAAAAAACAACAAGATAGATTCGTCGAAAAGAGAGTAATTTGCATCAGGACTTAGCTCATAAGCAATGGAAACGATATAATGCTAAGCTGAAAGGGATAATAAAATAATACGAAGAAATCTTACTGAAGGAGTGGAACAAAGAGTTATTGGTGACCTTCAAAAATTGCAAACTAATGCTCAGAATCTGGCGAACAAAAAGCAATCCCATATTGATGAATTATTACGAGAAAAGATAGCCCTTTGGCTAATAAATTGAAGGTGTAAAGCTAAGGCTAACTTAGCAGAATTTAACCAAGCCTGGATATTTTATCAGTATCAAAAATAGAAGGCTCAGGAAATAATCTCTTGCAAAATATTTTAAATTTGCAGGGACAAATTTTAGCATTACAGAATAATCCACCAAATCAAATAAATATGGTAGGAATCCTACAACCATTTTTTGACTGGAATGATAGTATTCCAGATTTTTTAGCAAAACTTAGATTATATTTGCAAAATCAAGGTGTAGATCCAGCAGATAATGCAAGAGGTGCACCTACAGGAAGAGAAGTAGCTATAGGATATTTGAGAGGATTTATGAGAGAAAGAGCCTTAGAATGGTTTGACAAAGAAATTACTACAAAACAGAATTAGGAATTAGCAAACTTACTTGATAATATAGGGCAGGGTAACTTAGTAGCAATAAACGAGCGAACAGCTGTTCAGATAGGAAATCAAGTAATAAATGAAGATTTTGGTTAACTAGGAACTGTAATAATCAAATTGAGAGTTGTAGAAGGCCCTTGGGATGAAGACTGGCGTATAGCAGGTGATCGTCCTACTAATCTTGTTATAAATGCACCAAATGCTAATAATGATACTACAGTAGTTGTAGCTGGTATTCGATTTGATCAAGCTATATGGTGGCTGAAAACTCATTTCTCTACTGTAGAAGAAGAACTTCAGGATTTGATGTATGGAACAATCAGAAAGGAAGACATGACTATAGATGAATTATATAGAAAATATTATGAATAGGTAAACGAGCTAACTATAGATCTGAAGAATTACATAGGAAGTTTTTAGATGCCCTTCTACTTTCATAGCTTGAAAAAGCTGAGGATATTGATGAACATTTGTAGATAAATTAGCTAAAAAACTTTATGAGATAGAATTACACTGAATAGCTAGACATAAAAGAGATAAAATATCAGATCCGCTAATATCTAATCAAGCATCTTAGCAAATATATGAATCTTCACCTGTTTTAGTCTCACAACAACAAGGAATTTATTTAGAAGATATGCAAAAAGCAATTCAAAACGCATTGACACAGCAAAAAACTGAATACCAGTCTTTATTAGAAAAGCAAAAATCTGATTTTCAATCGCAAATGGCTTAGCAAGTAACTACTCCACAAACTGTTGAACCAATTAGACAGCCGAAAGGTTCACTATCTATTTTGAAAACAGAGGAAGGTCTCAAGAATTATTATGTAGCCGAATACTTAAAAGAAGTAGATCTACTTAATAAGGAAGATTTAGACTCTGATTATCCTGTAAAGCCTTTTCAAAGACCTCGTTCACAGTGAAATAATAACTCTACTAGATTTGATAGGATTGAAGTAGGACTTGAAGAAACTTAGAATAATGTAAATCAGTTAGCTGATCTATTTCAGAAACTAAATATACGTAAATGCAATATTTATAGGGAAACAGGCTATAGCAAAAGAAGTTGTCCAAAAAGACTGGTAGCTCAATCTAATTTCATTCAGTCTTATTTTACGCCTCTTAAACCAATAGTTCCTCCCAATTCAGATGGTGAGGAAAATGATGGGATGGTTATGACAAAGCAGATAATAAGTGGTATTATGCATTAAAAAAAAACAGGTACCAATAAATGATAAGTTGGCCAGTGATACTAATGTAATCTCACCTCTAGAATCTAGCCAACCTGAAACTTATGATCAGCTATTGTCTAAGCTCTCACCACCAATACAAAAAACATGCTTGTCTTGAAAGGCTCAGGAGGAGGAATCGAAAGAATCAGATAAGTGGTTATCTTTATAATATCTGAATGCTAATATAAATGACTTAACTATTTCTGAATCTTTTTTAGATACTGGCAGTGAGTTAGGTGGTTTAAATGAC